CTTCCCGCAGTCCAAGGCACTCTCAGAACTTTCCTCCAGCACCACAGTTCAAAAGCATCAATCTTCCTTCGCTCAGCCTTCCCTAAGGTCCAGCTGTTAGCGGGGTATAAATAAAGGATTATTATTATTATTATTATTATTATTATTATTATTATTTTGCTTTGATCCAACCTCACTTGGAATACTGTATCCACAATGAAAAGATATTGGGTAGCTGGAGCATGTTCAGAGGAAGGCAACCAAAATCTTAAAAGATCTGGAAGCTATATCCTATGCAGAGTGACTTAGGGAGCTGGGCATGTTTAGCCTGAAGAAGAAAAGTTTAAGAGGAGGCATGATAGCAATTTTTAAATGTTTGAAGGGATGCCATACTGAAGCTGGAACAAGCGTGTTCTCTGCTGCTCCAGAGAAACAGAACAAGAGACACTGTTGCTGTCATCCTCTTTTCCCCTTCCTACCTTTCTCTGGCCATCCCTAGTGATAGCATATTATGCTTTGTTTTGTTCCTTAGATTTACAATAAAGGTAATTAGAATTACAAATGGTGCTTGCTTCCAAGGGATGTGTAAGCAAACATGAACATTTTAAAAAGTCCCTCTGATAGAATTGTTCCTTCTGAAAACAAAGATGACATATCCAGAAAAAGGAGAACATGTGGAACCCTGGTATAGACTAATAGCTGACCTATAGGTGTACATAGAGGAGCTGTTCTGTTGAGTTACTTAATACCTGTTGTTTTCTGTATCTGTCTGCCATGACTTTGCTCTTTGTTTTGGTTCTTGTTTGAGAAGGCTAGACTGAAGACAGATTGCAAAATGTTGGGCATTTAAGGATTTGTGATGTTCCTGTAATGAAGATAGATTTTTTAAATTGTGAACCCTAATCCTAACTTTTCTACCAGGTACATATTATTTATGGTCTCATGCATATTACACTGCATTTATAGGGAAGCTTAAGGCCCATCTGCCCCTTTGTATGTTTTAACCAATGATGACCTTGTAAAGGAAAGCAATAACTGATATGGAAGTGAGGTTTGCTAATTAGTGTCTTGCCTTAACTGGAGAGTGAAGAATACATATTTCTTTACTCCAGTGGTTCTCAACCTGGGGTCTCCAGATGTTTTTGGCCTACAACTCCCAGAAATCCCAGCCAGTTTACCAGGTGTTAGGATTTCTGGGAGTTGAAGGCCAAAAACATCTGGGGACCCCAGGTTGAGAACCACTGCTGTACTCTATAATTGGGATGGTGGCATTAAGAAAACAACAAGTAACTTGATGCATCTGTACTATATAAGGAACATGGACTTAGACAACTATTAACTATCTTCTAATTAGCTTTGGTGAATATTGAACACTTGGTTTATGATAAATGCTTGAAATTGTTTGGGACTACATTCATTTATTTGTTGTTAACCTCCAACTTAGTAACAGAAGGGGATTTATGACTAGCATTTAACACCTATCAGACGTGAATAGTTGAATTTATATAATTATCTTTAGAGCTATTTATTGAGAGATGTTCACTTCTGATAGCTATTATATGCTTTGGGTCTTTCTTTTGAACTTCAGGCATTCCTTCTGAACTGGTTTCAATCTCAGGCATGCTGACCTTTACCTGTTCTTTGCAAATGACTTGCACTGACACTGCGCTGAAAGGAAAGTGAGATTAGGCAAAAGTGTTTGAGCCAAGGAAAAGATATAGAAACCCAACAAATTCCTGATTTTGCAAATATTGCAAAACTGTATTTTTTGTTTATTAAGGAATAAACTGGCTGCACTGATTTGTAGTAGATCCGTTTTTGAGCTTTACATATCTATAATTTTTGCAATAGCATAACAGCAATATTCTTTCAATTTAGAGTTCACATATAATAGGAAAGAACAGCTTGTTTTAACCCACCTTGTTGTAGTGAGGAAAGAAATAAGAACATTCTACTTCTTATCTCATATACTGAGTAGCTATGGTATATCAGGTTTCCTAGAGATGGAAAGGATCAAAGAACTATATAGGCCAGAAATCAAAGACTTAGCCATGTTAGTCTTGACTATCAGTTTGTAAAGAGATTTTTAACACTTTAGAGACTTAACTGAGAGAATAATAGTTGTTGATGTTGTTATATTCATTTGTACCTTGCTTTTCTCCTAGTATTGAGACCCAAAACAGCTCACAACCTCAAAACAATACCTCAAAATGTAAATATTTAAATAGAATTAAATGTTACAATTATTAAAACAATGTAGTTAAAATCCCATTAAAACAGATAAATAAAAATCTTTAATAAAAACAATTCAAGCACCATACATCAACTTTAACATTTTCTGCTTTAAAAATTTCTGCTCATAAAGCTTGCTATTCAAAGGAATGAAATTGGTAGCACAAGTTTGTCTACAAAAGATTGTGCTACTAACTTCCTCTCCACAGTTTTTCTCTATGGCAGCACAAGATCCCTTTCTTTACTATCTTGGAAGTAGTTGAGTGATTTGAAATCCATAATAGGCCTGTACATCAAGCATACATTTTGAGAATCCACGTTATAATTTTTATCTTTGTTGTGATCAGCTATCATTAGGTTGGATTATGATTTAGTGATGGGTGTTAGTTCGTTCCCCAACTGAACCAGTGATCTCTAGGCATGCCTGTGGCTAGAAGCAAGACTTCGATACACCATCAATTAAAGTCAGTGTTCTGCATGATGTACTTTTAAAAGCCTTTTAAAAGTCCCACATACAGCCATTGAATCAAAAGGAACTTGCCAAATCAGTGGATTAATTTCCATTTGTTCTGCTGTAGTGAAAATTAACAGTTGAGTTCAGGTTGGGGTGGGAATTGTGTGGCCCTCCAGATCTTGTTGGACTGCAACTTATACCATTCCTTACTGGACAGGACAGCTGAGAGCTGCAGTTCTACATCAGGAGAAACACACAATTTTCACATTAGATTTAGCCAACCTTATATTCCAAGTGACATATGCAAGTGAAAGTCAAGTGACACACTTCACAATTTTTGTTGTAATTTGTTTCCTAGATTTGCGTGTCATGCAAGGCTAAAGTAATGTTTCTTTATGTGTCTTGTGTTAACAGCTCGGTGATCCATCTATTTTTCCTGCTGTCATTGTGGAGCATGTACCCAGCGCTGATCTCCTCAATAATTACTCAGGTTTATCTTGTGTTACTGAACCCAGTGTCATGATAACTGAGAATTCACTAGATGTTGCAGAAGAAGAAATTATTGAAGATGATGATATCACCCTTACAGGTATGTAAGCCGTTTCCCATTGTCATTTTGAAGATGATATCTCGGTTCATCCATTACACCATAGTTAAACCTTCTAATACATCCTACCAGTACATCCACTCTTTATAACTGCCTGGGTACTTTTTGCATTCTGTCCATAATCAACTTGAAAATGTTGGAATTTACAACCTGTAGTGTAGAGAAGAAGCCAAAATCATGACTTGTCACTTCTGAATCTGGGCAGTTCATAAGTTGCACGTCTGCTTTAGACTATTTATTTTGATTGCCTGATACCAGAACATGGATTGGCAGTTCAAGCATAACTAAAGATTGTAATTAATGCTTTTTAAATCAAAGTTTGAAGTGAGAATGATAATACATTTTAAAGGTTGGGGTTATTTTACAATTCGCTACTCAAATCTGAAGAATTTTGTTTCAAAATTGTACCTTTATCCTCAAAACGTCACAGACTTACTACTTGCTTTAAACTTTTCAACCACTGAAACCTCTAATGTATAACACTGGGAGCTCTTCTGTTACCATAAATACTTGTAAATGATAAATACACTGAAAAAAATTAAAGTAACAGCTGTTTTGAGTGTTGGACTCGGAATGGGAAGAACTGAATTCCTTTTTTTCCATTGCAGTTATTACATTCCTTCTAAAAGCTCATGACCTTATCACACTCAGTAGCAATGTACTAGACTACAGGAAGCAACGCCCAGCACTGTTTAATGAACCATTCTCACTTCCTTTTATGCTGTTGACTGTTGTAGAAAGTTTGTAATTTCTGTTGTGGAAAGCGTTATTAGTCCATCTAGTTGGCTGCTGTTAAAGATTTCCAGCCAAGATCTCTGTAAATCTTCAGTTGCTGCCAGCCACAGTTGCCAGTTGAGGTCCCTTTGATTCAACCCAATCCTGTATTTGTGATGTGCAAGAATTGGAACAAATATTGCACTGTTTGAATCAAAGACTGTTTTCTGTAATGTTTTTAAAACCAATTGGGTTGGAGGCATTTCAGTATGCATGAGTATGTGCCTGAGTTGCCTGTAGCTTTGAAGCAGCCGTGCAGGTAAGAAATATTCGGAAAGTAGTTTTGCCATTTTCTTCCTCTGAAATGCACTCTACAGCACCTGGCATCTGTTTTTTTTTTCTTTTCAGAATTCCATTTCATTGTCCTTGTTTTAATTTTGATTTATTTTATTCTGTCTTAATTTATTTCTAATCAATGTGATTTTAAAGAAGTGGTAAATATTTGTTTTATTTATATCCCATCTTTTCTCAAAGGAGCTGAAAGTAGTATCTATGGTACTTCTCAATTTTGATCCTCACAACAAGCCTGTGAATTATGTTGTGCAGAGAGTCAGTGGCTGATATGGTATCTCTCTGGATAACAGAGAGTTGGGTTTGGTCTTCTCACTCCATCCAACACTTCAGAAAACTATTGCTTTAATCTTGTCGCTAGTTGATGCAACTATTGTCCTCATGTGAGATCTTTGCTTCTATATGAAGCAGAGCTGGTCACCTGTCATTTCCCTTTAAATTCAGGTACAGTAGAGTCTCACTTATCCAAGATAAATGGGCTGGCGGAACGTTGGATAAGCGAAAATGTTGGATAATAAGGCAGGGTTAACGAAAAGCCTATTAAACGTCAAATTACGTTATGATTTTACAAATTAAGCACTAAAACATCATGTTTTACAACAAATCGTCAGAAAGAGCAGTTCAATACATGGTAACATTATGTAGTAATTACTGTATTTAAGAATTTAGCACCAAAACATTGCAATGTATTGAAACAGCTGTGGATCCAGGCAGGAGGCAGACTACATCGGATAATACAGAACACTGGATGAGTGAAGGTTGGATAAGCAAGGCTCTACTTTATAACAAATAGTTAAAATCCGTACCACATGCTGTTTATAAACACGCACACAAACACATTTCTGAATCTTTTAATACTGTTGCTTTACAAAGGGAATAATAATATTATAATAACAACTTTATTTTTATACCCTGCCTCCATCTCCCCAAAAGGACACAGGATAGCTTACATATGGCACAACGTGCCTAAAACAACGCATAAAATAAACACACAATACAACACAAAATAAAACCAATAGCATATTAAACAATAATTTAAGCTCAAAAACAGAATTCATTCAGATCTACTGTATTTACACAAAACTTTTAGAACTTCAGTAAGTGGAAACTGGAGTGTATAAATGGGATTTGTAGGATTACAGGAGGGAATTTGTGTATTATAAGAGGTAGTAAAACAAGATAATTCAGGTACAGACCAGCTGTCATAATAATATCTCTTGAAGTTCCATGGTAATCTGCTAAATTCTCTTACAGAGTTAAGTTCAAATTGTTTCATGTTCTATTACATATTCAGGCTTTGTTTAGAATTTTTGGAGTGTATTTTAGAAATTTTCTGTCTTTACCTCATCTTTTACTCTCTCATTTTCAGTTGAAGCATCTTGTCAGAATGGCGATGAAACCATGCAAACCATTGAAGCCGCCGAGGCTCTTCTCAATATGGAATCCCCTGACCCAGTATTGGATGAAAAGAGATCCAGTGAGTCAAATCTAAGGAAATGTGTTATATATAATTTAAAAACAATACTCTGCTTTTCTTTTTAAGAGCTGGGTTTTGCACAAGGGTAATGTTGCAAGAGATGGGTGTTGGATTGGTATACATGGTAGCTTTTGCTGCTGTGCTGTAGAATTGCGCAAAATGAGGCTAATCTGAGAACACATAAGTGGCAGATTCATTTGTTGCAAATTTCCTGATTTTAGGAAATAAAAGTGTTTGTTTAACACTGAAGGGCTCCCATTTTTAAAGTACATTGGCCCTGTTTGGTTCCAGAAGTAAATACTAAAATCTGTAAATGTTGAAGTTCCATTATATACAACGTTGTAGTAAAATTGTGTCCCTCAAAAAATTTGAAAAAATCACTGGTTGGGTTTTGGATTTTTAAAAAAAATATATTTTTAAGCCACGAATATGTGAATCTATGAATACAGAATCAGTTACAGGCATTCCTCAAGTTACAAACAAGATAGGTTCTGTTTGTTCATAAGTTAAGTTTGTTTGAAAGTTGGAACAGGTACATTTTTTTAAGTGTAAGTCAACCATATATATATATAAGCTATGAAAAGCACAGGGAAGGGTTAATACCCCCGTGGTGTTTGTTTTGCTATCTATTTCTGTTCCTGTGATAATTGGTTTTTGAAAAAAAAATGGCTTGTTGTGGAAATAAGGATTTGGTAATAAAGCTTCATTGGAGATACCTTTTCCCCATGCTAACTCTTTCAGCAGTGAATCTTCCTTCCAAGGGGTAGATTTTCTCACTTCCTGTTGTCTCACCCCTGTACTTAACTGTGAGTCGTTTGTAAATTGGATTTTTTTTAGCTTTCTTCAAGGGCTTCACATTGAATCTTAACTACAGCAGAAATTCTGGAATTGCTAAAAGTTTCTCTCCATATTTTCAATAATACGGTTAGGATTCCCCCTTCTCCTTTAGTTTTTTAAAAAAATATTCTGCTCTACTGTTCTGATGGGTTTCAAACCTTCTCTGTTTTAGGATCAGTATAACCGGAAGAAAGGCAGGACAATATAGACAAAACATAAAAATAAAGAGCTAATTAATTGCTCTGATAAATGACTATTAAGTTTGTTCAGTCTCTCTAATGGTAGAAAAGTCAATTGAGGAATAGGAAAAAATGAGAAACGCAGCCTACAATCTGCCTGGTAGGTCTCTGGAGTAGAGCATGAAAAAGATTTGAGAAAAAAAAATTCAAAATAATACAGGTACTGGAATACAGTAATAATTGTCTCTTATTTGTTAATCAGTTAAAATTATTCAGATAGCATACTTAGTCTATTCATATTTCAGGCTTTTTATAATATTTTAGAAAAGTATTTCAACAACCTTTAAAATATTTATTGATTTCCCTGTCTTTTGAAGCACATGTGTTTGGAGCTGAGGATGAAATTGATATTGGTCCAATTACTCATGTATCTGTCACACTTGATGGGATTCCAGAAGTGGTGGAGGTTCAACAAATCCAGGATGCATTTGCAGAGTCACAAATTCCTGTAGCACTTGAGCAACCAAAGAAGAGAAAAGGTGAGGTGATATGAATATGTGTTACTCACCTACATTTGCAGGTCTTTAGATGAGATATCCAGTGTTTAGTATCTGTTGCTCTGCGATTGCTGAAATTTGCAATAGAAGAGAAAAATAGTACAGAGACCATTAACCAAATTATTTGTGCAGACCTTTTGTTTGAATTAGCTGAGTCTTGAAATACAGATCCTACAGATGAAATAGGGATGGGGGCGGTATTTGTCCCACAGGCTCTGGGTCGTACTGTAGTTCATACCTGGGTGTATTGGGTGAGTGGATAGCAGGTAGTAATTTGCCTGAGACCGTGTTATGAGCTAATTGTTGACATGACATGTGAACTAGCGCAGGCATGGGCAAACTTTGGCCCTTCAGTTGGTTTGGACTTCCAACTCTTACAATTCCTTCCAGCCTTCCAGCTCTTAGTTGAAGTCTGAAACACCTGGAGGGCCAAAGTTTGTCCATGCCTGAACTGGAGGCTATTTGACTCTTAAGTTTACATTAACACAATAAGGTATCATTGTGTTAAAGGCAGGTTAAAATATTTTAAAGCCTGATATGCTATTCATGCTATTCTTGGTATCTCTCAGGATTTTGATAGATTTACTATTCTTTCAATAAAAGTTAACTTAGTCTTTCCAATTCATAACATTGCTATTGTCAGATATCAATTTCTGTTATTATTTATTTCTCCCTTCCCTCTTTATGACATTACTTCAAAAGGAGTCATGGCAGTATCTAACATGGTGGTGGTGGTTGTTGTTATTACATTATAGCAATTATAAATAATAATGGCAGCATTAAATCATATAGAGCAATTTGGTTAACTACAATTTGGCGGTGGGAATGGATCAGGGTTCAGTGAATGAACTGGCTATTTCATAATCAATATGAACATCTGTATATTTTTTTTCTTCTAGGGAAGAAGCCTAAAGTGCCACGCTCCGAGTCTCCTACTCTGACTCCAAACATAACAGTGAAAAAGAAAAACAAAGATGGGAAGGGTAAGCCTGAATAATGTTAACCAGAATTTCTCAAATTGTGCTTCTCTGGATGTTTTGGACTTCAGTTCCCACAATGCCCAACACCTGCTAAACTGGCTGGGATTTCTGGGAACTGAAGTCCAAAACACCCGGAGGAGCACAGTTTGAGAAACAGTGATGTAAATTGAGGCCCGTGGAGCAGAGAAGACTATATTGCAACTGGATAATGCAGAATTTAACAAACATCTGGCAATTGTTTATCCCACAGATTTAGTGGTATTGTGAACATGGAGACTGTTGTAGTGAATTTCCCATACATAGTGTTATTAGGGAAATTATTCCTGCACCATTACCTGATAATTGCTTACTTGACTGAATGCAGTATTACCAGAATAGATAACCTCTTGCAGGTGAGTCTGCTATTTAGTGAGAATCAGATTGAATTAAGACCTGAGTCTGCACCCAAATTCTGCTAAAATACGTCTACTTCCACATAAGGCCTATACTGATTATATACTACTGACGTAGATTAGTTTGATCATGTGATATTGTCTACATAGTAGTAGTGTCTATCAGAAATCTGTGGCACTTATATTGGCCAGATACATGTAGCAAGTATTGGCCAGATACATGTAGCAAGCATATGTGACAACCTTCAGTTAGAGCCGAGTCCCAGAAAATAGTTCACTTCATGTTTTCATCTTATGGTGAAAAAATAGGTTTTAAAGTTCTTGCTGGACTTTTCCATGTGATGTGTCAATTTCTGAAATGTTTTCCATCTGTTTGTTTCAGGAAACACAATTTATCTTTGGGAGTTTCTACTAGCACTGCTTCAGGACAAAGCTACTTGTCCTAAATACATTAAATGGACTCAAAGAGAGAAGGGCATTTTTAAGCTTGTAGATTCCAAGGCTGTGTCAAGGCTGTGGGGAAAGCACAAAAACAAACCTGATATGAATTATGAAACAATGGGCAGAGCTCTCAGGTAGGTGGACTTGAGAAAATGTTGATATTTTCTTAATTGTAAATGTATATCATTAGATTGAAAGTCATCTGAGCTAATACAAGTTTGGTTTGCTGCATATGAAACACTTTTAGTAGATAGCAAACATATGTTATCTCAAAATGACACAGTCTTCAATCCAATTGCTAGCCTAAGCTAATGTAGGCCTGTGGAGTTGACAGGATGTATACTATACAGAAATTGATTCAGTGGAACTTAGTTTGAACAAGCAATTGGATATAGGCTATGGTATCTGTAAGGATTTCTAATCTTTGTTCATTGTCATTTTTTACTCCAAAATCTTTCACAAATTTATTCAAACGTGAATTCTGGATACATTGAAAAGGTAAAAATCACTGATTGGTTACACTGCCTTCTTTTCAATTCCAGTCAAAGAACTATTTTCTAATGATGTTTTATTTTAGAATTTTCTGATTTTATGCTATTCTTCTTTATATAAATTATTTTGTTGTATTGTCAATTTATGTAGATTTGGCCAAGATGAATTCAAAAATGTCTTTGAAGAACAAGATTTACATGTTTTAAATACATGAATAATAGCATTTTGTAAATCAGTTTTTTGAACTTCATGATTTAGACAAATTATATTTCTGACAGATGGTGTGAACATTTGAGACAGTAGTTTTCCATACCTCTTTCTGTTTGTATTAAGTTACCCAGACACATGGGTAACATTTAGCATTTAAACCTTTTTCTCGCCCATTTTTTCTTCAGTTAGTATATTATGAAACCACCATGATAGGTCCCCGTTAGGGTCTCCATATGTAAGAAACCACTTGAAGACACAGCAGCAACAACAGGTACACCATATATACTAGGAACAGACTCAAGTACTGATTTATATTTTATGGTAGACAGTTTCTAGTTACTAATTGCTATCAAATCCTAAAAATATTTGGCATGCTTGGGTACAACCCAAATGCTAATTTCTTCCAATTCATTTTCTACTCTCAAGCATGCAAAAAATGAAAAGGGAGAAACTTTCTAATGTTACAGTGGTTGGATGGATGGATTTCACAATACTAACTAGCTCTAGAGTTGGCCATTGCTTTTCATCTTTATTGGCAACTGATATATTGGAGTGTCTTGGGAACACAACCATATGTCTCTTTCTGTACTAAATTTTAGAACATAATTTCCTATGTAATTTGAACACTGTGAACTGTTTCCAGAAGCATTCTCTTTTTCAAAAGGCTCTGCAAGGGAGTTCATTAAATCAAAGGAGGCAAATCAATTTTAAATTATTTTCCTCTTCTTTTGCATCTTCCTGTACACCCACACTACATTTCTGCAAGAAGTTGGTGGGCCTTTTAAAAGAGTATGATGTGCAAGTTTTCAAGGAAAGGAAGAATTTATAAAAAGCATGTCTGTTAATCATTTTATTCATGGAAGTTCCCAATGGGATAAAAAGTCTTCCATCAATGGACATAGTTACGGTAGTTTGCTTCAGCCCAGTCTCATTGGCTGTGTACAAAACTTCCATAATATGGAAATATGCCATACTTCAGCAATATTGTTTTAAATTGCTTTTAAATTTTGTTAGATTTTAGCTATTCTTGTAAGCCACTCCGAGCCCCAGGGGAGTGGCGGCATATAAGTTCAAATAATAAATAAATAAAATAAATAAATAGTTAGAAATACCATTAAATGGACTGTTTAATTATTCTTTAGAGTGTTGTTGTATTAGCGCCTTTAAATTAGTCATTGATGCATCATTTATTCTTTTGTAACCAGTAGGCTGTTTTATTGCTCTAACAGATATTATTACCAAAGAGGCATTCTGGCCAAAGTAGAGGGACAGCGTTTGGTGTATCAATTTAAAGAAATGCCAAAAGACCTGGTCTACATTGATGATGATGATCCTAGTTCCAGTACAGACTCCACTGATGCATCTTTACTGTCAGCACCTATGGCTAATAGAAACCAAATGGGTAGGCCAAAAGGATCTACAAATACAGGGTCAAGAGGAGGATCTACTGCTGTTTTAAAGATACCACTCAACTCCAAATCTACCAAACCTAAGCAGCCCCTGGAAACTGCACAGCAGCAATTGCCTGCCATGGCATCAGAAGCCTTGAGGACGATGCAAGCTACTCAGCCTCTACATCCAACTCAGCTTTATCGGACAGTTCATTTAATGCAGCCAGTACAATCCATTCCAGAAGGACATACAGCCGTGACCAGTAGCATGCTGGATGAGAAATTGAACTCTTCTGTTCAAAACATAAGGTAAGGATGTTAAAAAAAGTCTTACATTACAAGTAAAATAACAAGAATTTTATGACCCTTGAATATCTGATCTCCTGATTGAAAAACATTTTGAAAGGGAGAAGAACAAAGAAGAGAAAACCACTATCTTCTTGTAAGAGTCTTCACATTAATCTCATGGATAATCATATAAGAAATATTTCTTTTTGTGTGTGGTGTTTTCTCAGTTTTAATGAGAAAGGATTCATGAGATGCTGGATTAGAGAAGATATACTGTTGGATTGGGGTAGTATGGTAAAGAGTTCAGTACTAAAATTCAGTGTGTGTGCACGTGTTTGAAATAATATGAGAGAAACCAAGGAGATTGCATTGATTTCAGCCCTCTAATTACTCACATTGCATCTCAGTTTTATGTGCTGAGAACGCAGATTGAATTGACCACAGACTCTTATTTATTAGTAAACTGCAGTGATTTTATGCTATTGTGTGATGATAAATTGATTAGTGGTGTTTTAGGGAACCATTTATTGCATGTTGGAAATGAGATGACTTGAAGTCATCTGGGTAATTCAAAGTAAATATGTCACTGGTTTTAAAATAATTCAATAGCTGAATAATTCATTTAAGCAATGAATTGGTTAGTCAGTATGACTGTAAATTAGGCCTGTGCCACTTGGGATCCATGAAACATGAAAGTAGCTTGTGGCATATATTGTGACCTGACAGGCACTTGACAGCTTCCATGTTTTGCTGTTGCAGGCAAATGGCTAATTTCAGAGTTCTGTGTGTGGCTGTGAAAGATTGCAAATGGTACAGATGCTACTAAATTTCATAGTTGGGCAATGCCTGTGGAATACTTCTCTATTATTTTAAAATATATTGATGCACTCAAGGCATCATACAAAATGTTTTTAAAAAATAACTGCACTCACATGCACCTTCAAGTCATCTGTTTGCTTATGACAACCTCATGAATTTCATAGGGTTTTCTTAGTCAGAGGTGATTTGGCCAATTCCTTCCTCTGTGTAGCCTACAGTACTTGGTATCCATTGGCAGTGTCCCATACAAATACTAACCTGTCTTCCCTGGAGGGACATTGCCAGTCAGTTTCAGTGAATGACACTGAATAGGTCTTGAAAGAGTTATCCATAATTTCTCTCCACTTGAGTGAGTGAATGCTCTTTTTGGAAGTTTTTTCTTTGCACTTTCTTAATACTGTGGAAGTGAGAGGAAGATGCATTATGTCTGTTGACATAAAAGAAGACTAGAGGGTTAAATGTTCTAAATGAAGATGTAAATATTCAGAAATACAAATTTTAAAAGGCTACCTGAAGTTGGCCAGGTGTTTATAAATAAAAGAAACCTTTTAGCAACACCGTTTTAAAGTAGTTATTTTATTTATTGTCTGTCTTCAGGCATTTCTCCAGTTTGTAGTTTTGACATGGATATGGGATGGGGAGTATCCTAAGGTATCAATTTTTCAAAATACAAATCAAAATGTTTTTCATCTGCATATTATAACAGTTAAACAGAAGTAATCAATGATGCAGTTCAAAGATTAGCATCCAAATTAGCAGCAACACTCCAAGAGACAACTACATAGTTTACACTTCTCATCCATTCTATTTTTTTCTACTATGAACTGAAGCTGGGGTGTATTGATTTGTCTGAGGGCTCTAACAAGATGAATGAACTGATCTTTGAACAAAGAAGTCTCAAAAACTAACTCTGTGATAAAACCCTTCATTAACACAAAAGGTCCTGGGTTCAATATCTGATATTTCCAGTTTAAGATTCCTTAATAAGAGAAAGGGGTTGCTGCTTGCCTAAGAAAACATTGTTGGCTAGGTGGACCAGCAACTCCACTTAGCTATAAGGAATATTTATTTATTTAACATGTATGATATTTCATGTTAGATGACTGAGAATCAATCTAGCTAAGGGCAGGAAATGTGGGAGAGAAATACCTTAAAGGGGAGTTGCTTTGGAGGGACACACCTTCTCATTTTCACTATCATGGTACCAGAATCAACACACTCAAGATGGATGCACCAGTTTGAAGATTTAAAAAAATGTAGGAAATTATCTACAAAAAACACACAATAATTTCCATTTTCATTTCAGAACTTTTCCAAAAAAACAAAAATCTGGTGGTGTCAGCAGAGTAGTCTGGACAATTTGGAAGTTGACATGTATCATTTGAATTCTTTAGAAAGCATGGTGATTCACTCAAACCACCCTCGAAATACAGTAATTCCCCATATTTACTTGAACTCAGACAGGAATGTCACCACCATCAAACAGATGTGGTCCCCACAAGGCTGAAAGACGTGTGGCCTGAATAAGTAAGCAGAGGACACACCAAAACAAGGAATAAAGTGTTCCATTTTGATGAGCTTATCTACCAGAATTGTAATAAGATCCACTCTTACTCTCAGGAAGTTCTTGCTTTTTTTTTTTTTAATTGTTTTATTGGTTTTTCCCACTCCCACCCTCCCCTCCTTGTACATGCCATTTATACATCAAACTACAGAAGTTACATTTGAAATATCAGTCTC